GGGGGGGGGGGGGGGAGAAATGAAGGAAGGATCGAACCCCAGAAGAATGAAAGGGGGGCTAAGGTTGAGAAACACTGGCTGATTAGTCAAAAAGACACAACAGGCATGCTTAATCACTCGGGAATAACAATAACCATCCATTAGAATCACGATGCAAATTATGCATACTACAGATGCAAATTATGGTCTTCTTCTTTCCTATGCTACTTTCTGGCCAAGAGCCCTCCAAGCAGCAGCATACCAGAAAGTTAAAACATACAACAAAAATAGCAATTGGGGTAGGAAGCCAGCATCTGCTGGAGTTGTGTCGGAGGCGGCGTGTGCGTATCCCAACGTCGTTCAACCCGTCTCCTTTTCGAGGGCAGACGTGGCCCCAGCTGAGCGGACCAGCCTGCGGGGCGGAAAAGTCCCGGTTAACAGCAGCAGCCCCGGCTCGGTCGGAAAAGCAGCGCCCTCCGCCGAAGGCGCTTTTCCTTGCTTCATGCAAGATGCCCGGGAAGTCAGAGGCGAGCTTGCCCCGAAGAAGACTTTAAAGAGCCTCGGCCATAGTTTAATTGCTGCGGTGCAACCACGCAGCCCGCCCGGGGCTGACTGAGCGAGGACCCTCCGAGCCTTGGCTCCCTTCCCGAGTTAAACAGGTCACGTCTGGGCGCAGTGGCGCCTTTTCTCGTGGGCACGGAGCGGGCACCGCCACGCGTGTCCCCGCAGGCTTTTCTGCAGAAATGCAATTCGTTCTGCCGAGGAGATGCCCTGCAAAGCGGACTCTCCGGAGAGACCCCCGTCGACCTCCCACCCCAAGCGCTCCGCTCGCGAACTCGCCCGGCTGAATCGCCCCCGCCCCCCGCTCGATTAATCCAGCCCACCTGTGGGTGGGGCAAGACTTTCTCCCCTCCCCTTTTGTGGCCTTCGTTCCCAGCCACCCTGATGCACGCCCTCGTAATCCGGCTTGCTGGTTTAGACCCCAAGGTACGAGGAAATTAAGCGGTCCCTCCTTCCTCGCCCGCTCGGTTTTCCCGGGAATCTGCTCTCGCCTCCAAACACGGTGGTCTCCGCTCTCCCTGCAGATTTCCCGCTGAGAGAGTCAGCAAAGCTTTCTGCAGCAGCCCACCCGGAACACCATGAATCTGTTCCGCTTCCTGGGAGACATCTCGCATCTGCTGGCCATAATCATCTTGCTGTTGAAGATCTGGAAGACCAGGTCCTGTGCTGGTAAGGACACCGGGGGCGGGCAGGGGAGGGGGCCCGTAGGGTCTCCGCACAGGACTGGAGGGTGACTTTATTCCTGGCCTGAAAGTGATTGCGTGGAAGTAGCACAGGTATGGATCTGAGCCTGAACCAACTTGGGGGTTGACTAATTTACACGTGCAATTTTCTAAATTGCTCTAATCTTCTCTTCCTTCTTTAAGGCTGCAGTTTAATGTATACTGTGAGGGATGAGTCCTATGCTGTGCCTTACTTCTAAGTAAACCTTCCGAAGTCACAAGTTGGTTTTATCTGTCTGTCTATCCATCTACACACACACACACACACACACACACACACACATGTATGTGTATATGAAACCTTTTATCTCTCTAGATTTGTATTTTTGGAACTCAACTGGGTTGCGGTGGCCTTTATTATATGTATCTGTTGCATGTCCATGACCCATTTTTAGAAAGAGCCATGTGTTTGTGGGTTAATAGTTGAAACCAGTGTGTTATAACTAAAAGACCTATTTATTGCTTTTAGAGAAAGAATTGCTTTGAAAAAGTGTATGGCCATCCTGATTTGGAAGAAGGGTTGGGAGAAAGGAAGCACTGATGCAGAAAAGTTGATGTTCTTTCTTGTTTTTTAAAAACTCTGTAATGTGTTAAAGACAGTAAATGATGAGGTGGAACTACTTGAGATAGGATTGGATAAAACTGGCTGATCTCTTCCTTCTGACAATCCCCCCTGGCCCTATAGAAAAAGAAGAAAGCCAGATTGTGGGTGTAGATTTTCTTAGACCTGAAGCAAAAGCATGAGTAGATCTGGGAAAGACCATTGATTACGCCCAGTTAGTGATGCTCTCTGACCAATGGGCAACATCATACTGTCCAACTCCAGGGCTTTTCTGAATTTTTTAACGCTACGACTAGCCAAACCTTCTTTGTGTCAAGGAGCTGTGACGTTGGATGATGAATCCTGAAGAGTTTTGAAGGAACTTCTCTTTCTTTTTCCTAATGATCAGTATGATGACTTTCTGATATTTTTTTAATTTCAAAAAATGGTTATTTTCTCATGGGACTATGAGTTACGCTGCCCTATGCTTGTCTTGCAGGAATCTCTGGGAAGAGCCAAGCTCTTTTTGCCATTGTCTTCACTACTCGGTACCTAGATCTATTTACCAACTACATTTCGTTGTACAACACCTCCATGAAGGTACAGGAGTGATGTTGGACTACTTAGTTTGTTATTGTGACTGTTAGAAGGCTAATAGGCGTGGGTGATGGTTGCATCTGACCCGGAGAATAAAATAGTTGGTTCTAAGCTTCTATTGTCTTCTACTTCTTTCTGTATGCACATTCTGCTTCAATAATGTGGCACCACTATCAGCTATAAAAGGGGATAGGGTAAAGCGATCAGTCTTTTACAGTGCTGGCCTATGCACAGGAATCCAAAAGTACATTCTCCTAAATTAGTGAAACTTCCTGTTAGGTAAGTATGACGTCTTAATTTGTTTATCAAAGAGCTTGTCATGTTTAGGTAACAGCATTCATTCAAAGAATTAAGTTGATGTAGAAGAATTTGATGTGGACGTCAGTTGCTGTGTTGGCAGAGAGCAAGAGATATAAAATTGTTAGCAGTGTTAGTTTTTAGTTTTAAAGAAACCTTTTGCCCTGCGAGTAGTCCTGGATAAGCTAAACATAAGCATGTGGTATATTATTATACCAGTTAAAGGTTAAAATCAATATGTCGGTTGACAGCTCTGACCTTGAAAAGCAGTTGCAGAATATGTTAAGCTGATTCATGAGATTGATGTCCCAATTCTCAGTGTACCTCAATTAGAGATAGCAGAGAGAAACAGCTGTGCATTAATGATATTGGGGGGGAATTGGTTATAGTTGAAATTAGAACAAGGGTGAGGGACTGGTGGCCTTCTAAATAATGCTGAACTTAATATTTTTGGCATCTATCATTACTAGCATGCTGCCTGGGAATTGTAGTTCAGCAACATCTAGAAGACTTCAGGTTCCCCATACTTCATATAAATGAGGAGATACCAATAAGGGGTCTAATTTACAAGAAGGAACCCTAATCTTTCAGAAAGATCCCCAAGGGAAAGACAGACTCTCCACTGAAGGGTTCAGGGTGTTGGCATTGATTACACTAAGAATTTGAGAGATAAAGTAATACTTAATCTCAGTGACCCTTCTTGATCTATGTTATCTCCTGCAGGTGGTGTATGTTGCCTGTTCCTATGCAACAGTATGGATGATCTATAGCAAATTCAAAGCCACCTATGATGGCAACCATGACACCTTCAGAGTGGAGTTCCTGGTTATTCCTACAGCAGTGTTAGCTTTCTTAGTGAATCATGATTTCACACCCCTAGAGGTAATTAAAAGTATGCTAGTGTGAACAGGCTAAGACCCAAATATCTACCATGTAGCTATATGATGTGTTCTAGTCCTATTGCTAAAATTATTCACTTGACTGGCAAATGGCTGCATTTAGTATTCTAGTCTTTGCTTGCCCTGCTACTGTATATCTAGTTTTCTTACCATTATAAGCTTGAACTAATTTTGTTTTCTAAAGCAGCACTACATTTATTCAACTATTTCTATGTGCTCATGTGCTGACTAAACATGAAGTGCATGGAGACAGATGGCATTGAAATAGAATTGTGATATACCTGCAGTTGTGAAATCAGAAACTGTTCTTTCAAGAAGAAGAAAGAAATTAGCAGAAGACATTATTAAGCTACATGTGATCTATGAGTTTACAACCTCAGTTTTTATTTTAAAAGAACAAAATACCCAACAATGGATTGGAGCAGTGGAAGTGTCAAGACAGTACTTGGTTGTGACTTGTCGAATCATGATTAACTTGACTCATTGAATTCAGTGCAGCTCAAGCGTGACTGATTTAGCCTGGATCCAACCCTGTGGGCAAATAAGTTAAAGATTAAGACTTCAAGGCAGGGTTGATTTCTGGCAATCTTATTCATGTAGTTTTCTTGGCAAGAATACAAAAGTAAGACCCTGTCTTATTCCAGGGTGGTGGTTGTGGTGATAATGATGGTTTTAACTTCCTGATCTGGTCTATAGCCCTGAAATTTCCAGGAGTTTCCCATCCAAGAACTAACCAGGTCTGCAATGTTTTTTTAGAGATCAGACAGAATTTGGCTCGGCACTGCCATGTATGTGGGCACTTCTCTCAAGACAATAACCAATTAAAGGATGAAGTACTTGGAGTTCACAAAACACCCAGTAGAAGGGCTTATTGGGGACAATTTGCAAAGAGATACATGTTGTATCAGCAGCTGCAGTGTTTCAGAGACAAATTGTCTAAAAGTGAGTTGGAGCAGATGTCCTCCTAAATCTATGACACAAATCTGTCCTGAATCTTGCAGTGCAGTGGTGGACCACACAAATGTTCAGTTCTGAATAACTGCCACGCAACTTTGTGAATATAATGAGCTGTCCTGTTTCATAATCAGAAAATATGTATTCCAACAAAACTATTTCTCTCCTGGATTCCTCCAGATTCTCTGGACCTTCTCCATCTACCTGGAGTCAGTGGCTATTTTGCCACAACTCTTCATGGTCAGTAAAACAGGTGAGGCAGAGACCATCACAAGTCATTATCTCTTCGCTTTGGGAGTCTACCGTGCCCTCTACCTGTTCAACTGGATTTGGCGTTACCAGTTTGAGGGCTTCTTCGACCTCATTGCCATTGTGGCTGGCTTGGTGCAAACTATACTATACTGCGATTTCTTCTACCTCTACATTACAAAAGGTATTGTGCAACAAGAATGAATGGAAACTAGATTTGTTGGCTGAAATCCCATTAGTATGAGATAGGGGGTAGTATTCTGAGATCTGAGGCCTTTAGCAAGGTGCTTGGGATTTTAAAATTATTTGGGAATCAGTACATGTCAACAACCTGTCTAAATGTGTGTTGAGTAAGCGTAGGTAGAAGTTCACTAGAGGGCACTCTTCAACTAAACTCAATCCTCAGCCTTTGATGCTGGGAGGCATATTAACTAATAACTCTTTATGAATTATAAGTTGACAAATTAATTAGCAGTTTCATCAACTTTTTTCCATAGGATCCAAAAGAAGTTGCAAAAAAAGTAGTTCACATATTCAAAACGATGAGCCCTAAAAAGCTATTTCTGTAGGATTGAATAAATTAAAATCTGTTAGACTAGCCTACCAGAGTTTAGATTAGGTATTCTATTAAAGGGCAACTAATTGACAAATACGTATTGCTTCTTTACTATTTTATTTCTAGCATCAAAATGATCTGAACGGTTGAGTTCTGAAATCCTTAACGAAGTACGTGCATGTGTTTTAAAGAGAAATCCAAGATTATTATATTTGATCTACGTGCATGTACATAGGCATACATTCACTACTTAAAAGCAACCACAAGAAAACTTTTTAGTATGCCAGACAGCTGGTGATGCCTTGCAGAATTCCCATTTCAGTCCTGCTCCCCATCCTTTTCCTGTCCCTTTTTCTTCAACAGATACTTGGCATCCTGTAGCTGCTAAGTAGACTCATTTCTAATTACTTGGTTTAAAAAATGTTTGGTGTTTTTGCAACTTGCGTTTTCTACCGGCACTTATATGTAGTTAGTAATGTTTTTCCTTCGTATGGATAAGCAGAAAATTGAGATTACTATTGAAATATATTCAGTGGAACCTGCAGCGTATAGGACTGTATTTCTGTTTAGCCATGACTTCTTCCCCTACATCCTTTTCCATTATTTTATTCCCATAACGGTAAGTTAGTATTTCATGCCCAATAAAAATGCTCAGTCATCAAAAGGCTGTTTTGGGCAGTGTCACTGCTACATCTACGTTGTGCGCTGATAGCTCTGTTTTGATTAGAGAACTAACATGAAATGAGAATACGAGCACAAATCTTATGGTGTTATACTGGATGTCATATACAGTGGGGCAAAAAAGTATTTAGTCAGCCACCAATTGTGCAAGTTCTCCCACTTAAAAAGATGAGAGAGGCCTGTAATTTTCATCATA